CTCAGAATGAACTTAAATGACCCAAACTCGGAAGTGCGTCTCCTAGGGGTAAAATCTCAATTTAGGAAGTGCGTCTCCTAAAACAAAAATACAACCTGAAGGACCCAGACTAGGAAGTGCGTCTCCTAGGGGTGAAACTTCAATGACTCAAACTAGGAAGTGCATCTCCTAGGAATGAACTTAATTGACCCAAAACTAGGAAGTGCGTCTCCGAGGGGTAAAACTCGAATGACTCAAACTAGGAAGTGCGTCTCCTAGGAATGAAACTTCAATGACTCAAACTAGGAAGTGCATCTCCTAGGGATAAAATCAATGACTCAAACTAGGAAGTGCTTCTCCTAGGGATGAACTTAAATGACTCAAACTAGGAAGTGCGTCAGGGGTAAAATCTCAATTTAGGAGGTGCGTCTCCTAAAACAAAAATATAACCTGAAAGACCCAGACTAGGAAATGCGTCTCCTGGGGGTGATGTGTGATCTTCTCAATAGCCTTTGCGTAAGCATAATTGGGGCATTACACCTGAAAATATCAAGCTTTGATATGAACATAGCCTTCATCCCTGTTTCAGACAAAGAAAACTTGTGAGTTTAAAATATGGTGGTTAGTTTGTGGCCTTGACTTTGAGACGATTGCTCCTTCACTTGCCAAGATAACTTTGATTTCAACTTGAAAGACCTTGCTTGTTTATTGACTAACCATTTTTGTCAACCCTTATCACATAAAACACCTCCGGTCCATTCGAGCCCAATATCCTCTATCCGTTGCACTCTGCTCATTAATTGATATTTTCCGAACCTTTGCATTTCACATGAATCCCAAAGCACAACAATTGTTATCAACTCAGTGCGCATGCCACTTTTCCCCGACTTATGCCACTTGATGTGCTAGGCCATATTCCGCTTTGTGCAATTGAAAAGCTGGTAGCAAATTTTGAAGTCATTTCTCACTTGTTTCGATAAAAACAGACTCAAAAGGACTTAAACAAAACGAGAGGAACAAAATAAGAGAAAAACGAGAAGAGATGGTATCTAACAAGATTTTTTTTTACCCAGGAAAAAGAACAAGGTAGAAGCTAATCTGATTTGAAGGCCATCTCCACTGACCATGACATACATTTTGGATTAAGCGGCCTGATCTGTCAAGCGAGTCTAATCTTCAACTCTTGTTATGCATCTAAGTTGTGAAACTGGGCTTCAGCGCTCTAATTGTTCTATTTGATCCACAATCCTCAGTCGACTTGTAGTGCCCTAAAGGGTTTTCACCATCAAGACTCTCTCATTTTGCTCTTTTTCTCAACTCATCGTCGCCTTACGGTGCCCATGAGGGTTTTCACCGATAAGACTCTCTCATTTTATCATTTTCTCTCTTTGTGCTGAGAACAAGGTATTACCCATGATACAAGAAGATCATACTTTTACCACACACTTTATTTAGCAGCCTCAAAGATTGGTAGGAAGGTCTTTCTTTGGACCGTAATGTAGGCTTTTGGACAGGGTTAGAAAGAAAGGGTGGCATGAAGGCTCACAATAATTTAAGATGAAAGGGTTCGAATTACAACTTTTGGAATCAGATCTTTTGGCCAAATTAAAACTTCTGCCCCAGTTTCTTGGAGTCTGGGGATTTTTTTTGATGGGATTTCTAAGAAAATCTGCCCCACTATTGACTTCGGGGACTACGAAATATTTTATTTGGTGAGACCGAACCTTAAGGCTGCCTACGTATCTTATAGTGACAAGAATCAGGTCGAACGTAGTTCAAACACAAAGTTGGTTTTTTTTCCTTTTCTTTCTTTTTCTTTTTTTCTTTTTTTTTCTCTTTTCTTTTGTTTTTCTTCCTTTTCTCTTTCTTTTTCTTTTCTAGTTCCTAACTCTACTTCTGGTTCAAAAAGAGGGGTATAGAACAAAACAAATTAAGGCCCAAAAGGGGTAGCAAAAGATAAAAGTATTTGGGTAGCAGAATAAAATGCCTTCGTCATACCAAACTTTAAAAATGCCAAGTACAAACATGCAATTGAAGATAAACAAAGAAATCATACAGAGTATCTATTGATGGCATCAACACAAACACAAAGTGTCGACGGGCAATACCTTTGTCCCAATGAATGATCCTTGCCAGTTCGAAGCAGACTTGATTCAAACTTATCTTGATGTGGAAGAATGCATTTCAGCACTGACTGATCTACCTCAAACTGCTTGAGAGACATTCCCTTGATGTATGCTCTCATCAACCTCTTGATTTTCCAGACTAACTGCCTCAGTTTCACTCAATTCAATCTTCGGGTTATCTCAAAATGCGTGAATCTTTACCCGTTTCTTCAAATGCCTCCTTTTATCATATTCAAAACCGTGTCATTGCTTCATGATTAGAATAAATTTCAAGACCAGGCTGAGAATTATGCGTGCATGTCATGTCACTAGAGTCAGGATAAAAAGAACTATAAAAGGAAAATTGACCTAAACAAAAAGTTAACAGAAAACAGGAGATTGCATTAGACAGATGGTGAAAAGGGTTTGAACAAAACAAGCAAAATAGACAAGGGTTACAACCCTGGAACAATCCTAAATAACACTAGACGAGTTACTACAACTAAACGAACTAGACAAAAATAAGAAGAAGAAGGGTTTGAGCCACAAGACAATATCCGGATTACAACCCCGAAATAACCCGGATAACAGAAATAACAATAAAATAAACCACCAAAACTCCTCCCTGTCTAGCCAAGAAAAGAGCGTCTTTCCAATTACTAAGCTCAACATCTTAGCTACTTCGTTCCACATCAATTTTACCAGAACCTCCACAAGCCTCCATCACGTTGACCTTAGCAGATAGCTGTTGGGTCCCTTTTGCCAACTTGTTCTTAAGATCAACCTCTGGAACCGAGACTGATAGCACTGAAAACTTTGCGGTAAGTGGCCCTCCAAGGGATTTAGAAGTGTTCTCATATTCCTTTTCCACACAAATCATGCCCACCACATGCGTCTCATTATGAACAGGCAACGGACTTTGGCTAGTATCTGTTGCATTTGGATTTTGCACGGTAATGTCACCTGCATCAATAAGCTTCTGGACTGCTCTTTTCAGATGCCAACACTTTTCTATGTCGTGCCCCGGGGCATTAGAGCAATATGTGAACCTTTGAGAAAAATCAAAACTCTTTGGAAAATGTTTCGGTATTTTTATCTGAATCGGCTTCAACATGTCCAATTGCCTCAGCCTTTGGAATAAACTGGCATATGATTCTCCAATAGGAGTGAAAGACTTTTCTCTTTACTGCTGCCTTCTCATTTTGTACTCCGGCCTTGGTTGGAACCTCTTTCAGGTATGTGGTTGATATACTTGTAGAGGTAGGTAAGACATTTGTGGAGGCGGTGCAAGCCGTTACCGGTTTCGTGGATGTGGAGCATACAGCGGTGCATTGTGGATAAAGTATTAGGAAGGTGAGGTATGACTTTGGGGATTTTATGGAGGAAAGTAGAATTGGTGAGAATTATCTGGAGTACGAGGATTCCATGGGGTCGGTATTGAGGCTGAAAGCGACTAGCAAGAATGCCCACTGGATCCTGTCATTGACGGGGCTCAACAACATCTTTTCTACCAATCGGAGAACTGACCCGAGCAACTTGTTCGTTCCATCTGAACCAAAACTCCCTAAAACATTCCTTGGATTTCTTTTCCATCTGAGATAGGGAGGAGCGGTCTGGGATAATGTCTACATTGTACTGATAGTGCCGAACAAAATCTTGAGCCAGGTCACCCCATGCATGCCACTTACTAGCATCTTGGCGGGTGTACCACTCCAGAGCTGCCCCACTCAGACTCTGACTGAAATAAGCCATCAATAATTCATCTTTCCCGCAAACACTTCTCACTTTACTGTAATAATCCCTCAGATGAGCTACTGGATCTCCACGCCCATCATATAAATGAAGCTTTGGCATTTTAAACCCTTTCAGCTTTGTGGATATGTCATCTTGCTCCACGTTCTTGGGTGGTTTCTCAGTTTCAACCTAAGGCTCAAAGTAAGGAGTGTAGGGGTAAGGATCTGGGACTTTGAAGGTGGGTTCCGAGGCATAGTATTGGGTATCTGGAGCTGGGAATGCGGGCTCACTAGAGAATCGGTGGAGGATAGCTTGTGGAGGGGGTACAAAAATAGGAGCAGACGTCGGAGCAGGGTATGAGGTTGTTTTGGCTGGTAGAGCACGGAAAATTTGGGAGGAAGTGCTAGGGTAATTGTGGTAAGGGGTAAAGCCCGGTGCATGTTGAGGGGGAAGGTCAACGGTAGTGGAAACCTGAGCTTGTGATAGTGGTGGGATAGTTGAAGGTTTTCAGTGTACTTAGTGGGAAATGAAGGTGGAGGATGCCCCCTGATCCAAGACTGATACATTTTCTGCCATCTCCTGTTTCAACCTTTGGACCTCCTCTTTCAATTCAGACTCCGACTCCACAAACTCCCTCGACAGGTCAACAACTCCTGTGTCCAAGTCTTTGCTAACCATGTCTACCTTGCTCTTTGACCTTGTGTTGTACAGATGACTCGCCAAAGTGCCACAAACTAACACCCTCTGTTATGATAACAATGAAAGAAACAAAGGGGAGCAAAACAAAGCCAACATGTTAGCGTTAGGACATTTATCAGATAGAAATATCACATCGCGTGCAATACCCCTAGCAACAATTAACGGTTCTACAATGGCTTCGAGGGTCACAAGATCATTTGGCATCATCCCAATTTTGTTCATTTCAATTTTCTCTTTTCTTTCTTTTCTAGCACTTCTTGGCTTGCTCATTTTCCTTCCCTTTTTTTTAATTGTCACTCCTTTCTTTCCTCTCACTTCTCACATCCACAACTTCATTCTCTTTTTTTTTCTTTTTTATTTTTTTAATTTCTTTTAAAAAAAAAAGGAAATGATTCGATCAAACCCTATGTAGGTTGCCTACGTATCATGTCCTTCATGAATCAGATCAAGCGTAGTTTTGGAAAATTAATGGACAAAATAAACTAAAAACAAAAATCTTTTTGGATTATTCATTTAAAACTTTTTTTTTGGTTTTTCAAATACAAAATGGGAAGTACTATAATAAAAGACTCGATATTACTGTACAAGACTAGAAAGTAAAAGACAACATGAATGACAGATTCAAAACATAAAAGTATCTTTAAGCAGCTCCTGAATGCAGTGGTCCTGGGATATCTGTCATGCTCGAGTCCTGGTATATGGATCCATACCTGAATGAGAAAAATAAGACCAAATAAAGTTAGTGACTCAAGACAACACGACATCTCCTATTGGACACATGCAAGGCATGATTGGGCTATTTTTGCAAAATGACCTATGTGACCAAGGGTGGCTATTAGAGCAAACTCAACAAAGGTGACCTTAAAGACATGGAAATACCTCACCGAGGGTTATATGGATTCAAATTCCCAGCAATCATGGCCCAAAACTGATTTGCTGAAATGACCCATTTTGCAAAAAGCGGCCGATATGGCCAGAAGTGGCCAAAGATGCAAACTCAAAAAGGATGGACCTTAAAGTAATATGACACCTAGTTGTGGACTCAAGATTCTAAGACATGGGTCATTGAACAATTTTTGCGCAAATGACCCATTTTTGCAAGAATGGCCGATGTGGCCAAAAGTGGCTAGACATGCAAATTCAACTGGAATGGACCTTAAAATTGAGAGGACACCTTGTTGTGGAATTAGGGCTCTAAGACATGGGATAAAAAACGACTTTGAAAAAGGAGCCCTATTTTGCAAAAACGGCTGATGTAGCCAGGTGTGGCTAAACATGCAAGATTTGGCTGCGACTCCGGAAGCCAAGAACCTAAAACTTACTAGGAAGACCGGATCCTATGTGGGTTTCCTATGTATCCCGCCCTGAAAGACGAGAATCAGGTATGCGTAGTTCGGGAAGATTGGATACGAGATAGAATTTAAAAAAAACTAATTTAAAGAAAACATATTTTTTTATCTTTTTTGAAAAATGATGAAACATGTAAAATCTTTTTGGATTTTCTTTTTCTCTTTTTTTTAAATTTTCTTTGAAAATGATGGGAAAGGCAAATCTTTTTGGATTTTTTATTTTCATTTTTTGGTCTTTTCTTGAAAAATTTGTGAAAGAAAAAATATAACTTGGCCCAACTTGCTTCATCTTTACATTTCACCCTCTTTCCCAAACATCAGTCCGCCAAATGACCTTTCTACCCTCAAAGATGCAACATGTATTACATAGGGATGATTGAATGTCTTTTTGGGCCAAACGCCCGTTTTAACAAAATTTGGATAGGCCTCCTACAAAGGGACACGGTACCTGGGATCGAGCCCTGCTAAGTGTAAGTGATATGATGCAAATAAGCATGACCTAAAGGCTGACCTAAGTTTGGGGTTCACTAGACAAGGCAATTCAGGGCGGCACGTGGTCGATGGCGGTTGCTCTAGCTGTCCTCCCACTCCACGCTCCCACGCCACCCCCTAAAGACAGAGGTGACTCACAAAAAGCCGTATATGCTCAAACGTACTCCGGAAGACTTGTTGCAGAAAGAAGACCCATGGTTATGCAAATGATAACAATTATAAAGCGGTAAACACATAAGGAAAAGCAATAAACAAATAACCAACTAAAGGGGAAATAAGACAAATAAACTAAATAAACAAAGTAAATAAAGAAAACAAACACCTCAATCGGATATCCTAAAACCCAACAAGATCAAGTATCAGCTCGAACCTGCAAGTCCCAGCAGAATCGCCAAAGCTGTCACACCCCTTTTTTTCACTTCACTAAACCCTCTTTGAAAGATAAAAAGTGATTTTGTGAAGTTCAAAAGGGTTTCAATTATGAAAGTGACAGAAAATTGTGTTTCAAAAGATTTTTAAGAGTCGCCACCTGACATTGGTTTCGGTGTGCCAGGTCACCATTTTTAAAAAAAAAAAATAAATTTTCCTTTTAAAACACTTTGGACTCCAGAACTAAGTCTACACCAGAGATTCGGGTAAGGGGGTTCATTTGACTCGGGGAGAAGGTGTTAGGCACTCCCCAAGTCCCGTGAAAGTCACGGTTGCGTACTCGATCTAGTTGGCTTTTAAAATATTCGAATTGAAGCAAGAACACACAAAGGAAAATAAACATCCAAAAGGTTTGAGGTCGTCCCTTCCTAATAAAAGAAAATAGAATAAAATAAGTCCTACTAGCCTATACTATGCCTCCACTGATGATGCCACGACCTCCATTTACATTTACTTCGGGGCATTCCCCGGGTTAAAATATTTACAAAGTTCACGAGGCATTCCTCGGATGAAATTATCGAAGGGACAACCTCTCACCTTATGTTCAAACATTATAGTTAAACTAAACGTCCTAAGGCTTGCCTACCCAAATATAATCGGCCTAAACATGCTACTAGCGGTCCAAACAAATAAAATATAATTAAACTTAGTATTAAGCCCAATTCTATGCATAAACTATGACTAAAGCCTAGATTTCAATTAATTTCAACTAACGAGATTCTCATTTTTCCAAATTCTAACCCCACGACCCACCTTGTTACTAAAATTTTGCATCAATGTTTTACGTCATTTATTTCAAATACACTCTAATTAGTGCTCTTTATCTTATGAATAGCATCTTAACACTTGAATCCAAATGAATTGCTGTAATTTAACACTTCATCTTATGTTAGAACTAAAGCAAACAAGCAGAAGCATTCTTCACATCTTTAATCTAGCACGAAACTCAATATAGAATTAATAATAAGCAATTTCAACACTTAATTATTGAGATATCAATTAATAGAAGTAAGACGAGAGCAGACCTCTTGAAGCTGCTGAAAATTTCTTCACAAAAATCAAATAAACGTATTGAAACATGGCAAACAAATTGAATCGGCGGCCGGAACCTTCGATCGGATAACCTCTACGATCAGCAACTTCGGACGGGTCCCCAAATTTCGAGATTGTAGACTAACTAAAACATCCGACTTGGGAATTTGAAACCAAATCCAGAAATCTCCACAAAACTTTTGCTGTGAAGAAGATCATGAAGTTGAATTTGCTTGAAAATCATGGGAACGCTCCATGTCTGTTTTGGTCACTCTTCCCGTTTCCCCTTTTTGTTTGTCCGTTCCCTTCCTCTGTTTTTCGCTATTGTATGTGTGTGTGTGGTCCCCGGATTCTGGCCAGTTATGGTGATGAGGGAGCAGCGACGACTGGATGGTGAAGGGTGTGGGCGGCTGGTGGGATGGTCGCTGGTGTTGTGTCCTAGGGTTCTCTTCAGGTCGGAGAAGAAGATTAGGCCGGGGGGGGGGGGTTTCTAGGGTTCAGGGATTGGCTGGATATGGGTGGTCGGCGGCAGAAGGCTGGAGATGCGACTGCTGCTGTCTCTCTAGGGTTAGGTATCTTTTTTGGTTAAAGTTGGTGAAGGTGATTGTTGGTTTGGTGGTGAAGCGCTGTGCGTGGAGCTGGTGGACGGCTTGGAGAGGAGCTGGCGGATGCTCTAGGTTAAGGGTAGAGAAGGCTCGTTCTTATCGCCGCTTCATTCTCCGTTTTTGTTCTGTATCTTTTGCCCTGTTTTCACGTCCGTTCTCCTCCTCTCTGTTTTCGTGTGTGTGCGTGTGTGTTTGAGAATGAGGGGAGAGATGAGAGTGGGGAAGGATTTGGTCTTTTTGACTATCTAAAGAAGGATGAAGAACAGGGCGGCTGGGATGTGGTGTCTAGTCGTTGGGTTTTGAATGGCAGAATGGAGGTGGAGATGGGGTGGTCTGCCGGTGTCAAGGGTGAAGCTGGGCGTTGGAATGGAGGAATTCGCTGGAGGAGGGCAGCGACGCTCAATTTTTCAAGGGGCGCGCCCGCTGTGGTCTTCTGTTCAGGGGGATTAGGGTTTTCTTATTTAGGGTGTGTAGATGAAGATGATATGAGGGGTGACGGCTGTGAGCTTTTTGGAGTCTAGGGTTCAAGAAGAGGGGGTCATGGGTTAGGTCTTAGGTAGGGCTGTGCACGGATCAGATTGGATCGGATTTAGCATATTTCGGATTTTGGATTCTGAAAAGGGCAATCCGAATCCAATCCGAATTAACATTGGATCGGATCGGATTTTAAACTTTGGATCGGATAATTTTTCGGATTGTCGGATCGGATTGTCACAAAATTGCTGGTTAGGACTTAGGACCATTCATCTCCTAAAACACCATTCAATCAGAAAAAAACCATTCATCTCCTAAAGCACCATTCAATCAGAATCAAAAAAATTGAGTGAATAAACACCATTCATCTCCTAAAACACCATTCAATGATATTGAGATTCACTGTAGTTGGTTGTGGAATCAGTTAAAGCGTCTCTTTCACCAAAATTTTCAACAATTTGAAGTTTATTCGGTGTCTCTGTTTCATCTTCCATCTACCAAACAAAAAAAAATCAAAGTAAAATCAAAAGTTGAAAAATAGAACATGAAAGAGACATAAAAGACATAAGAGAAGGGAAGAGAGGCGGAAGAAAGAGACATAAAAATCAAAGTAAAATCAGAAGTTTGAGACTTTGAGTCTTTGAGACTCTTCAGTCTTCACTGAAGAGAAGAGAGGCGGAAAAATCTAAGTGAGTGAGGGGGTGTGTAAAAAATGAATAAGCCTAATCCTAAAATTTTAGTGTAGTATTTATATAGGTACATATAGTTTCGGATTTCGGATCGGATCGGATTTAGATCATACCAATCCGAATCCAATCCGAAAATCCGAAATTTTATAAAACACAATCCGTATCCAATCCGAAAATTCGAAATCCGAAATCCAAAAATCCGAAATAGAGTGGATCGGATCGGATTTCGGATATCCGATCCAAATGCACAGCCCTAGTCTTAGGTTAAGGATGGGGTAATGGGCTAAGGTTATTTGGGCTAAGGGTAATTGGGTTGGTCCAAAATTTCTTAAGAAAATTCAAAAACGAGACTAGTTTCGAGGTTGTTCAAGCTTTTTTAGCTAAAATCCCAAATGTTATTCTAAAAAGTATAATGTATTTATAAAATATAGAAATCACTCTTAATTAAAATAAACTACTAAAATAAAACTAAATACCAAAAGGGAAACTATTTTTGTATATTTTTTAATTTTATGAAAGGTAGATAAACTAAAAGTAATTAAATAAAATATCAATTAGCTAAATAAGAGAAAATATTTTTCTAATTTTTTTTTTGTGATAAAATAAAGTAAAAGAGTCAAAACTAGTTGAAATAATCATAATAGACCTAAACTAAATATTTAAATGTTATAAATATATAAAATTTCGAGGAGGGTCAAAAATTACATATCTACTAAGCTATACCGTTTCTACTGAAAATAAACAAATTAACAGAGTTAAAAAAAAAATGCCAAAGAGCAATATCGAGCTAGTTCTCTTCTGTGTAAATGTCCTAAATGTAAAGGACTCGTTACGGAAACTGAATGAATTGGTTACCAAAATAAGGAAAAGAAAAAACTTTCTTCTTAATTAATTAAGATAAAATCAGAAATGAATCTTTTCCACCATAAGTGGAATCCTTGGCTCCAATAGCAAATTTTTACGAACTTATTAATACCGTTGATAAATTCAAGAAACAAGTCCTCGGCAGTCAAATGCTACCGACTTCCGTACTAATAGATTTTTGATAATTTTATACTTAATAGGATATATAGTTACCTAAACCAAAGGCTTTAATGTTTTGAAGAATATTATCAGTGTTTATTTCTTGGCTAACTTGGTAAAAAAAACATATGTTAGGTAAGTAATCAAGAAAAAGTCAAAATGAGATCATGCATATAAATCCAAAATTGGAAAATAATCCAAGAGAGAGGAAAGAAATTAAATTTAGCCTAAAGGGTACCTTATTTGTATCATTTTATACATCAAACATCAAAAGCCTATGTCTTTTATATAATTGTTGTTCTCATGAGAGAGCAGTGCAGTTGAAAGGAAAAAAATGGTTTCATTGGCTTCTGCAAGTTTTAGTGTGTGCTTGTTTGTATTCTTGTGCATAGCTAATGCCCAATATTATAATTCACCACTTAAGTTCTTCAATGTTTTGGATTATGGTGCAGTTGCTGATGAGAAGAGAGATAATGGCCAGGTTTGTATTGGAAAAAGACATTAATTAGGCCCTACTCTCTTGTTTGTATCGATTGCAAAGTGAAAATAATGTGACTATATGATAATGCACCAAATGATGTACAATACGAAGAGACGAATTCAGAATCTAAGTTAGTGGTTGAATGAGTGTGTATATAAATATTTATAATTTTTTTTTGCAGATATATACATAGTTCAAATTGAAAGCAACCGATTCAGTTAAACACATACTGATTTTAGATCCGCCTCTTTAACTTTTCTATTCTTTGTTTTGTGTTTTTAGGCATTTTTAAAGGCATGGGAAGATGCTTGTCAGTGGAGAGGAAGGAGTATGGTTTTAATTCCCTATGGAACTTACATGTTGAGGTCAGTTTCATTTGAGGGTCCATGTAGGAGTTTAATGAGATTTGTAATAAAAGGGGTTCTTAAAGCTCCCACAAGTCCATCATTGTTCAACACAAATACTTGGATTGGTTTTCGTTACATAAATGGGCTAGTTGTTAAAGGTGGTGGCTATTTGGATGGCCAAGGTGCTTCTGCTTGGCCATATAACGATTGTTCCAAGAACCCCCATTGCATGCCTCTTCCTGTGGTAAGTTTTCCACGGTAAAATACTTATTCTGTTTACGCCAAATTATATTAACTCATTACTGTTAAGTAATAAAATGAGTTGAAAATGCATATAATTAACTATAGTTAAGTGCTTAAAGTTCATGTGCAAAACACTTGTGGATGATCGTTTTACAATAAAGATTCTTTTTTTCTTTAATTCATTGCATTTTTCAAAGAATGGGGATGTTGACTTTGAGTGAAAATTGTTATAATCTAGAGTTTTCAGTCTTCATATTTCATGTTTTGGAAGGAATTGGGAGTAAATCTTTAATGGACATCCTTGAGTTAGGAATTGTGTCTACTCATATATCAAATGGTATTTAGTAATACTTGTGTAGTGTGAAGTCATTAATTCGCATACTTTTTTCTCCTTAAATTTAGTTTACTTTGTTAGGACTTAGGACTAAGATCTTTCAATTGAGATTTACATAATCCCACTAAACATGCTACAACTTGATTATGTTTCTTATTATGAAAGAGTTTTTTTAGGTAAGGTGGTAAAATCAACATACTATTACATGATTATGTTTCTTAATTCGAAAGTGTTTTTATTGGTAAGGTAGTAAATTACTAGTACTAGAATTTTCACAGGGTATGGACTTACCACATCAGAGGAGCATTTTATTGGCCAAGACAACCTTTTTCCAAAATAGGGACTAGAGTTGACTTCAGTGGTTACGAGAGATTTTCTTCATTTTGTCATATAACTCTAGTCCCACAAAAGGGTCAATGACCCCTACACTATTCGATGACCAAACCCACCCGAAAAGAAAATTTTAAAAAATAGAAATAATAACACGTCTTCCAAATTGAAGAATCTGCGTTTACACTACCCCAAACGTCATTATGTGGGTATGTCGTTGTTGTAACACCTTTTTGAAATAATTATTCAACAACAAATACTTCTAGTATCTAGTAAATTTACGATTTTTATTCTAATGTTTCGTGTTTCTTTTTAATTAGACTTTGAGATTCGATTTCGTGACGAATTCAAGAATCCATCATTTGAGATCAATCAACAGCAAGAACTCCCACATAAACCTCTTTGCGTGCAACAACATAAACATCAGTTTCGTACGAATGACAGCTCCTGGGGACAGCCCCAACACCGACGGCATTCACATCGGAGCTTCAACTAACATCAGAATTTCAAGAACTGTTATTCAGACCGGCGATGACTGCATTTCCATGGTTACAGGCAGCCGAAACATCGACATTTCCGATGTTACTTGTGGACCTGGTCATGGAATTAGCATTGGTAGTCTAGGAAAATCACCTGGAGAATTTGTTACAGGCATAAATGTGAGAAATTGCACATTTATTGGTACTCAAAATGGGGCAAGGATCAAAACTTGGGCACCGTCTTTGTCAAGTGAGGCTTCTGATATATTTTTTGGTGACATTTACATGCAAAATGTCAATAATCCAATCCTCATTGATCAACAATACTGCCCATATCCTTCTTGCAGCAATCTGGTACGTGATGACCACATTTCTATGACTATTATTTAGGGATTAGCCAATACTTATTTTGTCCTGAAAATTTAAACTAAAAATCTTAACTTCAACACTTTGTGTATGAAAAATTGAAATTCAGGACACACCGACTAATTTCTAAATAGCAGTCTTCTAGAATGACTACCTGGTGTCATTTCGTACCACTTCTTTTTACATAGTGAATTGAATTATTGAAGTATGTTTGTTAATGTTGTGTAGGGACATGACAATTCTAAAGTACAAATAAGCAATGTGACATTCAGTAACATATGGGGAACATCAAGTTCAAAGGTTGCAGTCACTTTAAAATGTAGTAAATTGGTGCCCTGTAAGAATGTGCAGCTTAACAATATCAACTTGGCATACCACGGACGAGGAGGACCAGCCACGTCTTCGTGTTTAAATGTGATTGGTGCTTCATATGGGAAACAATCTCCTCCTAGTTGTTTATGATCAAATTGATGATTTTTCTCGATTTCCTTATCTTGTGCCAATTTCTCAATTTGTTCTAATGTAGTTCCGTTGGTGTTACTAGGCTAATATCTCAGGATGTATAAACTTGTTATTTAGGATGAAATCAATGCGCTTGTCAGGATGTTCCATTTGAAAGTTCAGAGAGAAGCAGAAATCTGCTTCCTCAAAAGATAACTCTTGTTTTCGTAATTGGATGCTAATCGTGCAAGTTTCCACATATGGGATTGGTCTTTCCTTCAAAATTAGGAGGACGATTAAATTGATTTTTCCCCCCAAAAAAGTCCACCATGATGGTGGGGGGTTTAGGTTATACCCTAACCTTTAGATAACACAGAGGATTACATAAACCATAGCCTCCAAAACATGATGGAGAATGATAGTACTCATTCTTGTGTACATCTGATCAATAAAATACTGCCTAGCTTTGATGGTTACATATTTTACAATATTTGTACATCGAGCTTCACAAAAAGTTAGTACGAGCATAGTTGAAAAAACTATACAAACATCATCACTATCTAAGGTTAGCATCATTAATTACACAACAGTTCTTCCTTGGTCTGAATCTGAAGTTTGGAGTGCTCTGCTGAACCAATTTTACAATTTCCTTCACATAATCTGGTAAGGAGCTCTTATCATAAAAAATAACTCGATTTCTCCCTTTTTCACCCCTGTTTGCTAATTGATCCGCAGCTATATTACCCTCTCTGAATATATGGACAAAACAAAAATTACCATTACTTGAGAGAAGAACAATCTGGTCTATGATATGTTGGATGTGCCAAGGAACCTTCATTTTGTTGTTAATCATGTCTACTATCAATTGGGAATCAGCTTCAACTATTACATTGGAGTATCGACTAGCAATGCACATTTTTATACCCTGAAGCATAGCTTTGGCCTCAGCCATGTTATTACTACAAGTGCCATAATAATCAGCAAATGCGAAAATGCAAGCACCTTGACTGTTTCTGAGTATTCCCCCTCCGTCAGAGTTTCCTGGATTCCCTTTACTACAACCATCCGTGTTTAATTTTACCCATCCATCATCAGGTTTATACCACCTTACTGATTGGCTGGTAATGACCAGTCTAGCCGTCTCTACTGCTGTGCATAAAGCATGGCAAGGATGAGGAAGAGTAACTTTGGGGAATTGAATATTTAAAAGGAAAGTCATATATTTAGACACCTGCTGAATTATAAACCTTTCGAACATGTGAATATTTTCAAATCTGGAAGCATACCTACTATTCCAAATCTCATAACAGATAACTAATGGTAGGCATTGTAACAAAGCAGCATGGATTTTATTCTTTGTTTTTGCTTGCCACCCAAACATTAGATAGAATCTATCTGATATTTCCCATTCTCAAGGTGATACCACAATATCTACCAAAGAATAGCCAAACTTGTGTAGCAATCTTGCTTTTGCAAAAGAGATGAGTGACAGTATCCTCATTGTGATTAGTACGGCAGGAGCACATGGATGGAACCATTCTACCAAATTTCTGAATCATTTCATCAGTAGGAATTCTGGACTGAATCATCCTCAAGATAAAAAATGAGATTTTGAAAGAAATTCTCTTGTGTCACATCATAGATGCAGTGAAAGATATGGACATTTGTTTTCTCATATTTTCCCATGCCGATTTACAAGTAAAGACTCCTTTTGAATCAACTGACCAAACTGGCAAATTTTCGCTGCCCCCATAAATCTCAATCTCCAAAATAATGCTAATGAAACTATTGGGGAGGACTTCCTTAAGCTTGTTCACATTACATCTTCCCTCTTCAATGAAGTTCAGGACCTTGGGTAGTTGCCTGAGCTTAGCCAGTGCACCTTTGCCAGGCCAATTATCCCATCAAAACGACACATTTTCTTTGCCTATCTTCCATAAAATGAATTTTTCGGCATCTTCCTTGCTATCCATGAGCCTTTTCCAGGTGTGAGATTGACCATATGACCACTTTCTAGCTATTGGATGTTTTCTTTTGCAGTACTTTGCCTCTAGAAAATTCTCTAGCAATCCCTTTTCGGTTCTAAAATTTCACCAAACTTTAGCTAAGAAGGCTTTACAAGTGTCATGTAGAGACCTAAAATTAGCTCCTCCTTCAATGGTCGGATAGCATAGATGAGCCCATTATATCCAGTGCACCTTATTTCTATCTTAAATCTTCCCCAAAAGAAATTAGAGATTATCCTCTCAATATGGTATAAGACCGTTTTGGGAGGATACAAGACATATAGAAGATGGAGTGGGAGAGATTGAAGAAGAGATTTTATTAGAACGGCTTTACCAACCTTGCATTCTTCTAGAGACTCTGGCCACCATGTTGTTGAAGTGGACAATTATCTTCCTTCCCATGTAAATAGGACAACCTAAATATTGCACGGGGAACTGAAAGTGTGGAAAGCCAGTAATATTTTTGACATTATCTTCATCAAACTGTGAGGAGACATAGAATCCAGATTTTTTTTATTGACTTTCTGATCGGATATACATTCATATGCTCTTAGTCTGTCCATCATCAAGCTGAGAGAAACAAAATCACCTTATAAAAATAGAATAGTATCATCTGCATAACACAAATGGGTGATAAATGGGCCATTCTTCTCTGCTGAGTATGGAATAAAACCACTCTCTGGGAGCATGTTCATCAATCTAGGTAGTAGTTCAGCTCCAATCACAAACAAGGAAGGGGATATTGGATCCCCTTGTCTGATCCCTCTGGAAGATTTAAAGAACCCATGTCTAGTGCCATTAAGGTTGATCGAGTACCATACATTATTGATCAACCTCCAAACTCTTTCAATCCAGATCTCAGAGAAGTCAATTTCTTCAGTCAACAAAATCCAATAAGCTAAAATATTTTATAGGGTCTTCATCTTAGATTTCATAGTGATTAGTAGAGGGCAGTGGTCAGATCCTGTTCTGATCAAGTGAGAAACCTGAGTGGAATCAAATATGTTCAACCAATCATGATTTATCAATACTCTATCTAATCGCTGCCAAACTCTTTTGTTTGGACACCAACCATTGCACTAAGTAAAATCAGAACCAGTGTGTAACCAGTATCCAGAAGCTCACAATCCATGATACACCGAATGAACGACAAACTTTTGGACATTTTATGGGGAGAGATCCTCCTTTCTTTTCCACTGGGTCAATTATGCAATTAAAGTCTCCTGTTACTAACCATAGAAGGTTGCATGAATCACTTAAAGTTCTAAGACTCTCCCATAAATCCTCTCTTAGTTGATCATCACACTTCGCATATACAGAGGTCCAGAGTAGAGATACCTCATTAACTTTGATCTTGCAAGTAACCCGTTATTCATCCTCTTCGACAATCGTACAGTCAAAATTATCTTCCCAAAAGATCCAAATTTGGCTATTATAGTTGGCAAAGGCATTTTGAAAACTAAGACTTCTTTTGAATTTGTCCAATTTATTAGCCTCATAGAAAGGTTCACTCAAGGTAATCAATGATAGTTTTTCTGAAGTAATTAATTGTTTAAGTCTTTCAAGAGCACCATTGGATTTAATGCTCCTGATATTCCAATAGAGGGACTTAAACATAATCACTTAAGCAGATAAGATCTAACCCTATGAGACCCTTCCAGGCCTTTAGTTGTTTTGCTTACCCCCTCTAATCCCTCTGCCTCTTGATAAAGTTCTACCACATCTCTTGCTGACCCATTCCTCTTCCTCTATTAGATAGGTGCCCAATATTAGCCACCTCTCCATACTCTGCTGTTACATTTACCTCAACCATTGAATGGGAGGTAACTGCCGCCACCAATCTATCTGCATGTTCATCACTGTTGTCTTCCTCACTGTCCACACTAGCATATTCCTCACTTGTTTCTGAGCTTTCATCATCTGCATAATCCATATCCTCTGAGCTGTGATACCCCATTTCAGAGGAGTTGGGGTGTTCCCGAATCGTAAGATCGTCATCAACTTCCTTACTCTTGGTCTCAAGATCAGTTCCACAAATTAGCTTAAGATAGTTGCTGTCAGTGTCTCCTGTATCAATTTCATACACTGCTTTATTAATTAGAACTTGTGTATTTAACATGTCACCATCATCTTCTGGAATAGATGAGGGTGCAATCTCTTTCTGTGTGTGTTCTTGCGTTTGCTCATTCACTATATCAACTGTTTTGGAATTTTTTGTTTCCTTTTCAATTTGCTTTGGTGCTATTTGATCATTCACCAAATTTGCTTGTTTGTCTATATCCTCTTCCTCGACCACAATATTTTGTTTCTTCCTCCTATTCCTCTTCTTCTTTTTGTTGAAAGAATCTGGTTTTGGCTCCAAGTTATCCCTGCTGCAGTTCCCCTTTTCCATCTGATTATTTTGAGCGACTTTTTTCGTATCTCTACGAGTGATCTCGTCGCAAGCAAGACCCTTTCCTTTTAATACTACTAGAAACTGAGGCAATACTAGAAAGAAGGCTGGCCAAGAAGCACGGCAAGGCAATAGCCCAAGTTCTTTTCAAATGGATGAATGCTGCACCAGAAGACAGTACTTGGGAGGATCTATAGGATTTCAAGCTCAAGTTTCTACTTTTTAATCCTTGAGGATAAGGATTATCTGAATAGGGGTATTGATACGTATCTGAATGTAATAACTATAGTTAGTGAATAATCATAGTTAGTAGTTGAGTTAGTAGCTGAGTTAGTAGTTAAAGTCGAGTGAAGGTTGTTAGAAAACACGTGAGAGTCATGTGACTTCCGGAAGTTAGTTATAACTAACTACTGCACATCACGTGGGTTCATCTATATAGCTCACAAATTCCTTTCTCTGTAATCATCTATTGTTGCTAAGATCAATAATACTCTCTTTTCTCTATTCTCTCAATTCAACTGAGCTTCATCAAGCTCTTGGAATCACTGTTCAAGAGTAGTTCATTTCATTACTCTTTAGGTGTTCCTTCTTTTTCGATTTTCATAATTTCTGTTCGTATCAGTGTAATTGTATTTTTTGAGGGGGACTTTGTGATTGATTAACATTTTCATCTGCCGCAAGCTCATTCCGGCAGGGTGGCTTGTCGAAATTTGAGGAAATTTTGGGTTGAGATGGTACAGAACTTGTCTTGGGCTTTAT